ACTTATGCCATGGAATAATTGTGCCAAACTAATTTTTTAACAAAAATTAATTATATGCCGTGACCACAGGTCTGGCATCTGGCGTCTGCGACATATTTCTGGAAACTTAAGTGGTTGTGACTTGATGGCGGGATGCTCAATTGTGCCAGAGAGTTATCCTGTTGTTTATGCTAGTGTCCCAACCCCCCAAAGGTTGGATTAATAGTGTCTAATTTCTCAATTATTTATGAATTAAATTACTGAAGATGAAAATAGAGAATGAGATAGGATGCTTATGCTAAAAGCAGGAGGTATAGTCTCAAGAAATTAACTGATCTAGTACTAGTGAAATGTGAAATAGACGCATGTTCTCTAGAAATAAATTTGTTAAAACATACACAAGTCATCCACTTTATTATTTGCTCATCTGTTGAGAACATTTGTTGACCTCAATAGCTGAATTAGTGATAATTCAACAGCAACAATAACATTACCCTTGTGCCTCAAAGTAACGCCCATTGCGGGGTAAGGGAGGTTGGTTGTACGCATCTTGGCCTCTATGTTTAAAGCATAGAACGGTTGTTTCCAGATGGCCCATGATGAGCGTTGAATATTGCATTGACTAATTGTTACTTCACTATTAAAAGAAGCACAAATTGTTTAAAGAGCCATTTTGCTTTAATCATCATACCCCAAAGCCAAACAATAATTAATCATTGGCTCCATCAAAGATGAATTAGAGATATTACATTACCCCTATATTTTGAAATGCCTCCGATGCTCTAAATTTACATGGATAAACAATAAGGGGAACTTCAGTCAGATCAGATGATGAGATAAAATAGCTGGTGCCAAATATATTTTTTCGGAATGTATTAGAAAATTATGACTAGGAACAATACCTTATAGATTAGATCCCAAGGCATACAACTGAGAAGATCAATGATAAAATGACACTTCATATAGCTGCAATTGATAAAGCATAAAAAGGAAAGGTCAAGTATACAGTTCTCTTTGTTCACCTCATATTGTCCATTATAAGAGAGAAGTGAGAACTGACCGAATGGCAATTGGAGTGCGCTTATAAACCATCCGGTATGTCTGACTATCTCTATATGCAACAAAAAACTGTAGGACAATGTCGACAAGAAAAGCTATTTGACCGCAGATGTCCAAGAAGAAGAGCTTTTTGGGCAATCCTCTAAAAAACCCAAACTCAAATGGTGTAAAAAAAGATGAGTAAATTGCCCATGCCAAGATGAACTTTTCCCATGCACGGTACCACCTGCATTGGATCAATATTCAGTATCTGTATTCCCAAACTTAGACTTATAAACAGGCAGCAAGTACTCTGGATTTTTCTTTGGCAGGACTTTAATGCACCATGATATGAAATGTAACAGGGTGTGCAGGGGCACCATCTCAAAATTAGTACGGAGTAGTAAAATTCTAATTAGTTGCAATAGTAGTCAAATAGCAGTAGGAACTCTCACATTCAAATGTTGCTTTTTCTGTTTTGGAAGAATATTGCCTATATTTAGCAACAACAACAATACTCAATATAATACCAACTCTATTGAGGTACTTGCCTCGGTAAAAACCCAAAACGTTGTTTCTGTTAGAACCGTGATTGTATATACTGCCCAACATTTAATAGAAAGTAAAAAAGGCAAAGGAAGTGTAATGTGTCATTTTGATTTACAGAGTTGCTTAGCCAAAGCTAAAGCATTGTCATAAATGACATGAATCCCTTAGCTTTAGTAAGCTCCATTGGTAATGCGCCCAAATTCAGAGTTAAATGAGCTTTTCTTTTGGACTTATGACTTTGACATGTTGCCCTTCAAGTTTCACCTCCTAATAGAATAGAGTATAGACTATAGACTAAATCAAGAAGCCAGCAAATAAACTTATAAAAATTAGATTAAATGGGACATATAAGAGTATTCAGAGTATAAAACTTATTACTCCTTTACAACAATTTAACCACACTCGTTGAATTTTATTTAACACTCATTCAGAATCGTAGTAGGCATTTTAGCTTGAACTAGAAATGTAGATTCTAAAACTTATATCTTAGTTCACCGATTCCATCTGTTAATTAATTAACACTATGAAATCTAAAACCCCATACTCTGTTCTTTGCTTATTATGTCCATGCTCTGTACGTCCCGTGTTGGGGTCTATTTGAAACAAATCTCTACTTTCGAGTAGGGCAAGGTCTGGGTGCACACCCCCCGTGGGACTCTACTGGTTGTTGTTGTTGTATGAAATTCAAAAATGAATAAATATGATAAATTGATAACTAAAAATTCCTTTGAGAAGAGCACAAGTTGCAAGGACAAGTTTAGATAGAGGGAGGCAGGAAGGTTGTTACCAGTTATCTGGATGAAAAACGAGACCTCGCGATAGGCCGTTGAGGCCATCGATGACAGACTGCCCGCTAAATTTTGGCCGAGTCAACTCGAGTCCTAACTCGTTCTGCATCAGCTTGAACCGACTCCGGCCGGTGGATTCCATCCTATCTCTCAGGTCCGACACCGTATACTCCGCATCCTCCTCCACGCCGTTATGCTCCACCGCCTCGCCTCCTCTCCGACTCCCCATCTTCCCCCGCCGCCGGTGCTAACTTTTCCCGCCGGGAGAAGAAGAAACCGGACTTCAATCTTCTCCTCAAATTCAGAACGGCTGGTCCGAATTGCACAATATGCCCGGTAGCTCCTGTCCAGGCGATTCGGACCCGATTGTTTGATCTGAACGGGGAAAAGCAGGGGGGGGTTGATTTTAGAAAGAAATCAAAGGGAAATTGGAATGCGTCAGAGGATACAAATGGCGCGCATTTAAATGGAGGAAGATGACGATCACGAGAAAGCAAACGGATATAAATGGACCTGCGAGGCATACGGTTGAATACTTATGAAGCAATTGAAATGCCGGCCATCATGCCCCTCATATGTATGTACTTCATGCTTGTATTGCTAGGAGAAATGAGATGAGTATACCATTTGGGTACCTCATTTGAACACCATCAATTTTAATACTCAATTTCTTTTTTCATTTTTAAATTATTTTTCTTCTCTTGCTTTTGTATGGTGGAGATGGAGGGGTACCCCAAATGGTGTACTCCTAGCTTTTTTCATTGCTAGTTTGCTACATGTATAAAGAAGGTGTTCTACCATGAGTTACAAATTGTATTGCTTTTTCCAAGCATAATTATCTCTCAGTGCAGTTATCAGAAATCAAATTCAGATATTATCTCGACGCATCTGTTACCTTGTCAATTGTGCAACGCCCACTACACATATGTGCCCATAAGAGTTGTTGATGTGTTGCATCATCAGTCACTCATCCAAGCCTAGATCCCCAATTCCAATCTAGAGGTCATGATCGACGGTCGCCAGGACTAGGATTGCAATTGTAACCCAGCGCACCACTTTACAAAGGAAGTCTGGAGTCTGCGTTCGTCTAAAGCTTATTTAATCCTAAAAGTCAAATACTTGAGTGCTATAGAAAAACATCATCTCACCTAAATATGCACATGCCAAAATGCTAATAATAAATTTCTAGTATAATGATAACTCATGGGTTGGTCTAACAAATTGGTATCTCCTCTAACCTTATATCTAATATCTACGTCTTCATCTGCGTCAAGGACGAACACTAACTTAAAAGTTGGGAACTTCAAAAAATAAGAGTGGTGTATTCAATCATGAGTATGTTGGATTTTTGTATTTTAAAAATCAGCAAGTATTCAATTGAGATTTTGAAAAATCATTTAAAATCTAGAGGTATTCAATTAAGATTTTTAACTCTTCCTAGATTTAATGGTATTAAAAAATGATGGACTCTGAAGGATTATTATAAAATATTGACTGTGATGGATTTTTGACCTTGAGTATAAATAAAAATCTTGTTTGTAAATCCAATCGATAGCTTAGAGATTTTATCTGACTTTGTGTTTCTTCATTTCTACCGCTGCCTTTCTTCTATCCGCTTCTCCTATATTCTTCATCTTTCTTTTTCCTTTTTTGCCACTGCGTTTCTTCTTCATCTTTTCATCCGCTGGCTCATTAGATCCAAATTTAATTCTTACACATAAATACACTGTCATCATACTGGCAACACATAGTATTCTTACACCACACAGTCATTATATTCCTATTTTGGTCTTAAAAAACTTAAGACTTCTATTTTAATATTTTTATACTTTTTTATTGAAGATTTGTTTTTAATTCTCTATGGTTTGGAAAGGGGGGTAGGATTTTTGCTTTGTTTGCAAAATTAGACGACAGAACATAAATTGAAATTTCCCTTTGATTTGAGACTATAATTTCTCAAAAATAATTTCCTATCACTTTTTAAGCCAAACGTAAAAATTTTAGCGAAACTTTTTTTTAAAAAATATTTATCTCCCAACCAAATGAGGTCATGTTCTTGTCACCTGATTTGATTTGTTCTGATCTTATTGGAATAAATTCTGATCTAGTCTAATCTAAAATTCTAAATATAGTTATATTTAAAATTATTTTTGATGTAATCTAGTCTCATTTAGTTTTAATAAGAATAAGTAATGAATAAAAGAAAAGTGAGTCCAAGAATTACCTCTTAAGGTAATAAAATCTTTGAAAAAAAATTTAAAAAAAATTACTTAAATCCCGTGCAAAACACTAGTTGAAATGCTAGTTTTGATCAATAAAAAAGTGAAATAGAAGGATTAAATGCGGTTGAGTGAGTAAAATTTAAGGGACCATGCTACACTTACACCAAAAAATATACCTCATTTGTACACCACAAGTTTGCACAAACATTTCGATGGTTTACACCAACACAAGTGTTGGTGCGTTAATAAAAATTCACACGGACACAAATATTGGTGCATTTAACAAAAATTATTTTTACACCAACACAAAGTGTTGGTACAAAACTGGTACAAATTGGGGTACAAGGCTACACATAGCATAATCCAAATTTAAGGGAAGCTTTAATCTCATGAGTAATCATTGCAAAATCTTTTGACGTTGGGAATTGCAAAATATGAACACATATCCGTCTCTCCGGATCCGTCCGAATATGTTTATCGTCACTGCGATTTCCTTTTCGCAGTGAACTGAATCGAAGATACACCCCAGCGTGGCTGTGTGGATCGGAGAGCAGTGGCGGAGACAATTCCGAAGAAACGGAGCTTCATCGATCATGGCTCCCGTTTCAACTCATCCGAGCTCATCTTACATCGCTGTCCTCTCCCAGAAAATCGAGAAGAAGCTTCAGCGCGTATGAATTATTTTGTGTAACGATTCTCTGTAATTTTTGCTTCTCCTTTTGTTTATTGTTCGGGTTTATTTGTTCATTTCTAGTCTGCTTTTCAGCTTGTGCTCCGTGTGGGTTTCGTTTCAGGCATTGATCTCGCCCTCTCAGACGCGCGATTTGTTGCAAGAACTGTTTGCGGATATAGCTTTAGAAGTAGACGATCGAGCGAAAGGTGACTGGTTTCTCTTCCATTGTCTGTTTTTCTTTCGGTGTGGATTGAATTGATGTTATGTTTGATGGCGCAACATTAGTTTAGTCATACTAGGACATTAATGGGAATGAATGTTCTTTCCTTTAGTACTCCCTATGTTCCATTCCAAAACGAATGCCCTGTTTAGTTTTAAGGAAATACAGAGTAATTATACTCCGTAAATCTCAACCACAATTCCAGTTTCTTAATAACTATGGAGTACTATGTTAGATGAAACATGTAATTTATAGTCAAGAGGGGGGGGATAATGTAGCGTTCAAGTTTAACGTGTTTGGGTATCTCGTTTGAAAAGAAAGAGGCATATTTGAGTGCATCTGTCAACGTGTGTGTGCACGAGTAAGGACATCTTCTGTTATTCTTTATTTTTTGTGAAAACTTACTCCCTAAGTGATAACGAATACGGTGAGTTGTGGGAAATGATTTCACCATCTTAATTTTTTTCTCCAATGGTTTCATGTTGATGTATTCTGGTTTTCCCTCTTACTAGTGAAGACCTTTATGGCTTTAAAATGAGCCGCACAGTCACACCACTATATGTAATTTATTGAGATCAATGGTTTAGATGAACTACTTTGTGACCGGTGTAAATGCCTGTCACACTGAAGTCGCAAACAATTGTATATGCATCCCAATCTATGAAAATGATTTGTTTTCATGCTTTTTGAGCATGAGGAATTTAGCCAAGTGGAGAAGTCATACAATGTTATCTGAAGATGATGCACAGAGTATAAGTGGAGAAGTCATACAATGTTATCTGGCTCCTAGTTGTTCTATGCTTTATTTATTTTTTTATTGAAATGAAGGCAATACAGGAAATAAACATGTGTTAAGATGAATTAGTCAATTAAGCCCATAGAAGAAATAATTAGCAAAAACCGTAAGGCGTGTTGATGGGTTCCACGCACGTAGACTGGACCACGTATTACTCTATTTGATTTTTTTTGCCCAAGTGTACTCTGAATTAGATCTAGATAAGTCGCAACAGTTCTCAAAATCTTAAATCATTTTCCTTTCTTCTCGCCTTTGCAAAAAATGGTGTCATGGTCATCAAATATGAATTTGAAATCAAATACCCCTCTCCACCTCATCATTGCCAGTGTGCCCATGTGTCTGGGTAATTGTCAAAACACCTCACTTCTTAAATAAAATATCTGTAGGAGGCGCTGGGTAACTTTATAGTTGACGTGTTTTTTTGGCGAAGCAGTTTAGCACAGGGTTTTTTCTGCTATTAACTCTCTCTTATTTTACTATTAGTGATCTATGAATCTATTAAAATTCATCTACTTCATGTGGTTAAGTTTTTCGTCCACAACAACCATCTCGCAACCACTTGCACACACTTTGAGGGTTTAGAAGTGAGGGATGTGGAGAACAGTAGCAATGTAGCATGTATGATTGGATGCTGTGCTTAAGAGGTGAGAAGGCTGAACAAGCAAATCCTTGAGGGCGTATACTAGGATGCACAGATCACTATTAGTATCTTTACACAAGCAACTTTATTATTGCTGCCTATCCAAACTTGTTAAATTTGGGCTTCATACAAAAGGGTTTAACTAAATATTGGTTTATATATTGTGGAATTCTGAGGTCTTTCAAATTGTTTCATGATTGAAGCGCTCATATTTCTAAAATAAAAAGTGACATACTACCTCCGTCCCAGAGTATTTGTCCACTTTCATTTTTACACATCATCCAATACACTTCTTTAATCCATTTTATCTTGTAATTTGTATATTAAAAAATTATAAAAATTATATATTAATAATCTATATGTTAAGACAAATCAAACAAGATCACACATGACTATATTTAGGCTTACACATTGAGAGAATTTGATGAGTCAAAGTGCTTAGATGAACAGTTCCAAAAGTCAAAACTGGACAAATACTCCGGGACGGAGGGAGTATGTGTTTAGGTCACGCCATGGACATGTACGCTACACACCTAAAATGTGCCAACCTCCTCCCATTTTATAAAATGGAAGCACGGGATATTTCGGGTCATTAAGGACAAGGTGGGGACACCTTGGGGAATAGCACATGTCGTTTTAGGAATGAGGCATGCTTTAAACCTTGAAATCTGCACTAGCGTTAAAATCAAAACCCTTGACCCCCCATTATTATTATTATAATTGTTAATAGAATTTTTACTTGTTCTCTCTAAACATTAACAATGTTAAAGAAATCACCCAAAATAGGAGCGAAACATAGCCCTTATCCCCAAAAATAGGATTGACATGTTTTTTATCCCAAAATAGGACTATTGCATCGTGACAATGTGTCATTGTATATATTAGCATTTCATAGTATTTTTTGGTATTATATGTTGGCATTATTGACATTATAGGTCCTATTTTGAGATAAAAACATGAAGGTCTTATTTTGTTCTCCTTGTTATGTTTTAATCCTATTTCAGCCCTTTTTCTCTAATAATATTATTACTAACATTTTTACCTGTGTGTTGCACCCAGTTTTTTCTCCTAATGTTTACAAAATACATAAACGATCTTAAACTAACATGCATAACGTTTTATTTTATTTTGAATGTAACTATCATTTAGTCAAAATATTCAAACATTCTTATACACAATTTTCTATTAGATATATATAGAATAGATTACTATTATTGTTGTTGTTATTATTATTATTATTATATTCATGCATCGTAGCTAGGACGCTGGTGAATATAGAATATGTACGAGTACATTTTTTGTTTAGCTTTTGATTGGAGATACTGATGATGCTGGTGTTATGTGTGCTTCACATGATGTAAACATACTTTATTCAGGCTCTTATGATGTCCATGTAATTGCACAGAAATAATTTTCAGCAGCGAAGATGTAATATCGGCCACAGAGGAAAGGATACAAGGTCCAATATGCTACTACGATGTGCTCGCTGAGCATTTCATTATTGTGCCCCACAATGGGAGAGTGATCCTTGATTCGATTGATCAGCTATGGAGCCAATCTTTTGCTTCTAATATCTTCACACTATTGTTTCACAAGTGGGTAAGTAAGTGCTTACATTTAAATTCAAATTATTGCATCATAACTTTACGTCCTCTCATATATCTTTTTTACCCTCATGGGCATGAATCACATGAATACATGATTATAAAATAACATGAAACAGATGATAGTTTTACATGTTTCGTCTATTATCCTAGCTCGATCCAAGACTGATATGGTATGGTTTTAGTTGTTTGAGGTTGAACACGAAAATTCTAAAGTCCTCCTTCGGTATTCTTCAGCTCTTATTCAAGGTGCTAGTAATGTGTTCTGGTATGAATTTAATCATCTATAGAGCTACATTTTATTGGCAGTGTGTGTGTGTCACTCATGAGTCATGACTTGTCCATACTCAATATAAATGTGGGGACTATAGTTGTCTTTGTGTTGTGGAAGATGGAAACAAATATAATTTTCTGTAGTCATACTATTTCAGGATTGACATTCAAACAAATACAAGACGGTTTCAAAGTCTCTTTCGGGTGAGACACACTGGATGTACAAAACTGTTATATCATAAAGAAATGTTTTAACATTTCTGTTTTCTTTCAACTGGCTGCAGTATCTTCTAGAGGAAGTTGCCCTCCTTCCTGATCGGTTAAAGAAGATACCCTTGGAGGTCTAAATTCACTATCTATAATTGTTTGCACAAATGTGATTAGCTAGTTAGTTTTAATATTCATGCCCAAAGAGCATTTCACTATCTTGCTTCATCTTGGACTGTCTTCAGGCTCAGCGGAGTTTGTTTCTCCTCCTTTCAAGGTTCCTTCTTTCTTATGACTCAGGTAAGCAATGATCATAACCCTTCTCCATTAGGTGTTCAAACAAGCTTTTGTTCAGTTGTTACTTGTGTGATTACAGTTGAAAAGCTAGAAAGGTTCTTGAAGCAATTTCCTGACTATCAGAACGGTTTCTTGATTGGTGGTCCAGCTGATATTTTTGTTACTGAATTGGCTGATCAGGTGAGAAGTATTATACACTAAGGATCTGTTTAGAACCTGTAAAATGGTGTGATGATAATAAAAAAGAACCTGTAAAATGCTAGGGAAAGAAATTAGAATTGAAAATAGAGGGAAAATATTGATATGACATTTAGAGAGAAAATTTGGTGCAAACACAATAAATCAATTCCAGATTAAAAACAGCTAATTTCTTCTGCATTTTTTCTGTTCCGTACCATTTTCTGCTTTCTAAACATAAGCTAAAAGAATTTTCTAGAGCCCATTTGCATCCTAAAGAATATCGTGTTTATTCTTTTTTTAAACCACTACCAGCTTCAGAAATTAAAGGTCGAGCCAGTGTTATTATATTACCTCTCCCAGATGAAGGTTCTCAGCGGTATGTGCATTTCAATTAGATCAATAATACGGAGGAATAATAGTAATAATTAATAATGTATCCTTGATTCGTATACAAAATTCAAGATTAAATTATTCTACAGGGTTACAATTAAGGATGACCACAAGCACAAGGCTGAAAACTTGTCTGTACAGTTTCACGAGCCCTGGGGCTCCTATGTATCCAACACGAGCCGTTCGCCATGCGGCATGGAATGCCCTAAATCTGCTTTTTCCTGTGAGTGAGAGCTTGTTCTCTTCATTTTATTATTATTACGTATTATTTATTCGTATTCAAATCAGATCAGAAACAGTTTTAAATATAACTACAATCAGATCAGATCAAAACTTATTCCATCAGATCAGAAACAATCAGATGAGGGGAAGAGAACAAGCCCTGAGTGTGTGTGTGTGTTTGTGTGTGTGTGTGTGTGTTACGTTCTTACATTCATTCTATACTTCCTTTTTTTGGTAGTTTATTAAATTTTGGAATCGGAGTGCAAGTGGTGTGTTACATACTTACATTGAAATGACACATTTGGTACTTCGCCCTCTTGCAGGTCGGCATGTATCCTCGGCACATAATAAGCTTCTTCTTTCGCTTGCTATACCCCTGGTACTGGCCTGCTTCATGTTGGAACTTTATAAAGGCATGCATAATGGCAGCATTTTACTCCATTCTAAGATTGATTCTCTCCAGTTGGGAAAGATTAAGAAAACAAAAAGAGAGATGATTCCAACAGAATCTGCTGTTCTATCCCCCATTAGAACTCTATAAAGATACATTTGTGGCCACTGGTCACATTAACTCTGTTGTACTAAGATGGACGAAATTGGGCAAAAATCATATGAACGGCTTTTTGCGCCGGATCTCAACATATGTCCCAAAAGACTACTACTGTATTTCACAAAGGGTTTGAGTGCCATATAATTTAGATATATGTACACTGTCTTTTACACCAAACTTGTACAGACATGCGTGCGCGTGTTTTTTTTTTGTTATCGCGGATGTCATGTTATGTCTGTGGGGATCTCATGTCTATGTTTGTGAACAAAAAGTAGCAAAATTGGTGTATGAAGACTCGAAAGAATAATGTTGTTTTTTTCATTTCAAAATGTGTGCATAAAGGAACTGATACTTAATGTTGGGAATTGGGACTTGGGAGTTTGTAAATGGACAAAGTACTACAGAGGTCCATGTACTATCTACATATGTGTAAATTGGTTTTTCACTCAAAATTGAAGCAATATGTTCATGCATTAGTCTTTTTGTTCAATATAGGCCTTCGTCATATTGTCCTGAACTTTTAAATCGATGACGTATAACTTTTAAATCGATGACGTATAATTTTACTTTAGAGGACATGAAAAATAATTGTTTTATCTTTATTTTTTTCTATCTAATGTAAGTCATCATACAATAAGAAACTTATTCCTATATTTTTCATAGAGTAAATTCCATAATTGGTCCTTTATAACAGGGAGGTTTCCATATTTAGTCCTTTATTATCAAATATTACTCTCGTAGTCCTTTTTTTAAGGGTACCTTTCCACAAATAGTCCTTTTTTGATCTTCTACCGTGTTGGTGTTAATTTAAAGGCTAAAAATATAAATTGACGTCAACATTATGTCTAGTGACGTGTTCTGATATTGGTTAAGCGGATAACACAAAAATAATGACTATGATTGTGGGCTAGGATTCTGACGAAAGATCACATTTGTAGACTATAGTTGTCGTAAAAAGCGACTGTAATTCACAAACGACGCAAACGGAACAGCCTTTGGAATTGTGTATGACAAAAAAGATATATTATCATTGTGAAATTACACTTTTAGCCCTCAAATTAACACCAACATGATATAAGATCAAAAAAAAGGACTATTTGTGGAAAGGTACCCATAAAAGAAGGACCACTTGGGTAATATTTGATAATAAATGACTAAACAGGAAAACTCCCCTGTTATAAAGGACCAATTATAGAATTTACTCTTTTTCATAAAATAAATGAATGAATGCTAGTTGCACTTGGTAAAAAGAAGTATTTAGAAATTACATGTTTTAGTATGTCATGTTAATATTGATCATGCCACATAAATAAAAAATTAAATATCAATTAGTTTGAGACAATAACCAATGAATAAGTAGAAGAACCAGATTGAACAAAAACAATTGCTTCGATTTTGAATATGAGAATGAATTTATACATTTTTAAAATTGTGTCTGGACATCTATGGTGTATTGGTTTGTACATCTTGTCCACTAATATACGCGACATACATCAAAAGGAACATACCAACATGTTACATAAATTTTCCTATGTTTATTCCTATTGCATCCTATTGGTAACAAACTTACAACGTGATTGGTGGATTTTATAGTTTTACAATTAAATCATCTCTCATTTTTAATCATATAACGTAATTCTGCAATTTACGCATCTATAATAATTTGATTAACTTCTAAAAACTATAGAATGCATCATAATAAATAAAGAATGCTAATCGAGCCACTAAAAAACACATAAAAGGGCGAACATTCATTTGGTTGGTTACATACTAACCAAATTGGAGATATTAGAGCATATCCAACATTTTGTCTTGTTAAAAGTCACGGAGTATAATATAAAAAGTCAAGCATTTGTGTTCATCTTCATAGGGTGTGCTATATTTTAGCAAGTTTACCAAAAAAATAACTTTAGTTTGCTAAATATAACAAGCTTCTCAAGTTAAAGCAAGTCAATAGTTGAAAAATAAAATAACAACTTATGATTGGAGAATGAAATAAAAAGATACTTGTATCATTATTCACTTGGTAAAGTTGGTAATTGGTATAATGAAAAATTAAAAAGTCTCTCGACAAGTAAGGTTGAAGATGTCCTTATTTTAGCACACCAAATACTCCGTATGACATTATTGTGTCTCATAGACATGCATAAACCATAACTTTTTGTATAAAACTATTTGTGCGAGACTATATTTGGTGTCATTTTTAGTTAAATGACTATTATTTTATTAAATAACTAACGAAAATAAGAGAAGAAAGTAAATAAAATTTGATTTTATGAATAATAAACAATTTAATATGAAACGGAAAGAAAATAACTTTTTCCGAGATGTTTTATGCTAGGATTTAGCTGCATTTCTTGGACCTTCATCCCAAAAGACCCTCACTTCTCTTTTTAACATTTCCAAAAACAATTCTTTATTTTTTAATACAAGTAGCTCAAACGATTTCCCTCTCATCTAAATAAATTACAACCATTCATTTTTTTATTCTTAAAAAATTCTCAAAAACTGCAGAGGGTACATTTTAACACAAGGTACTCTGTATATGACTATAGGAGGAAGGAGGGGAAAGGACATTAATTGTTATGGAGTAAGATATTAGAAAATTACACAAGAGTTAGTAATAATAAATACCAAGCGACAAGCACAACAAGTTAAATGCAATTCTACAAGGCTACAGAACAAAGCAAGGGAGCTGTGCAAATCATCAAGCACAAATTGGCAGAGCAGATACACAAGAAAGTCTAGGGAAACAACAATATGATGATGGGAGGAACTAATCAATCAAACTTCTTGCATTGATTCCAAATGGTACTTGTCCAATTCCGCGTCAAGGTCTTGTGCGGATATCTTCTCTCCTCCGCGTCCTCTGCCTTGGCCTCGCCCTCCTCCTCGGAACCCCCTTTGACCTCTTCCCCGGCTGCCACGTGGCCTCCCAAAGCCTCCACCCCGGCCTTGGCCGCTGTTTAAAATCCAAAATTCAGAAACATAGGCATATAGTGAAATATGTTAGGTAGGTCTATGATTTAAAGTTTTACATATTTCAGTCCAATATTTGGACTTATTTATAAAAGACCACATCCCTTAAAACCAAACCATGTGGCGTGACACCAACGTGTCCATATCCTAATGTGTCCCCTTCCACTGGAGAGGGGTGGCACAGTAAAGGTGTGAGCCTTTGCTTTACGACGAGATGCACACTTCACATCTTTAATTAATGTTGTGTTTCATAGCTCCCTAGATAATATATGAGTGTGCGTGATCTACCACAAGGTGGCTGGTCATCTTTGCATAAGACATGAAAAAAGGTTTCTGTTGCAATGAAATACACGGGATATTTTTACTTAAATGCAAGTGCATTAATCAGTGAAAGAAATGTGAACCTAAAAATCACAAATGCAGTATTGTATAAACTGTTCTTCAATAAAATGAGTGAGTGTATAACAGAAAGAGTAGTGTAAATCAATAGAATCTGAGAAACCTTCTAGGAACTCCATTGAAATCTCCAAATGCACCACCAAATACAGGTTGAACAGAAGGGGCCACAATGCTTACTCCTACCATCTCTATCTTCATTGGTTTGCCATCAAGTTGAACATTGTTGTACCTTTTCAAAGCTGATAAAGCATCTTGTCGGCGCGCGAAGACAACTTCTGCTGTTCCCTAAAGAGAAAATATATTTTTTTAACAGGAGTATAGAAGTGATACATAACCGGTAAACTATATTCTCTATTCTTCTGACATTTACCTTTGATCTTCCACTCTTATCGTAATGAATTGAATATCTTTTAAGGTCGCCAACCTCATTGAAGAGTTCCTGCATCACATAAATTCACATCAAATACATTAGAAATGACTAAGTGCTAGGAGAATGCAGCAACAAAAAGGTCAAGCACGTAGTAGTAAATAACTACCATACACCAAAATTGCTTTAAACAAGTAACCATGTTTCAGCTGGTTAATCAACTAGAGTGACAGCCAGCAACATGCAAAGCATTCTGTAGAATGTGGTCTGTAATGAAAGGGGAAACTTTGAACATTAAAAAAAAGCTAAAAGGCATGAGGCTGAAAGACATTTGAAGCAAGCAGTCAATAGTTAGGTAGGCTGTGGAAGTTGTGTAAAGCGGTTAATGATGGCATGCTCAACTGTGTAGTGTTGGTTTCAGTAGTACAAAATGCACAGTTGCAAGGGATATGGACGAACAGTTTCAAAATATTTAAATACTGCGGCAGCCGGCAGGTAGGGAAGAACAATTTCAAAAGAAATGTTTCTAAACTCTGTTTATCTCAACATGCAAGAACAATTCCAATGAAACTTCTCAAAATTCTCTCAATGTCTAATTTCTCTCCATCCCCAAAATTCCACTCAGATCTTTGGTTACTAGGTCCTCGTGGTTTTGTCACAATTTGGTATGACCTTCAGTACATGTGAATCTATCATGCACTGAAGTTTACTTAAAACCAGTTCTTGAAGAGCTTGAAAGCAATACAATTAAGGAACACAATTGAAGTGAGAGGAAGGGTGCAACAGGAATCCTTCATAGGGAACTTTCTTACGCAGTAATTTTGAGCCTAGTCACATCAGAAAAAAAACTTGAATAGGAGAATTTACCTACCCAAAAAAATTCTAACTTTCTAACACAATCTCATCCCACTAACAAATACCATTGAAAAAAGATTCTTGAATATGACACCTAATCTCAGTTTTCAAACAAAGGTGGTCTTTCATAAAGAAGATAAATCAGAACTATCATTTACAGTGACCATCTAATTATAACCAGAAACAGACGGGATTTGATTTTTTTTAAAAAAGGATCTAAAAAATAACGCAAAAACTCACCTTGATATCCTCATTAGAGACGCCATAGTCAAGGTTAGAGATGTAGAGCTTAGTGCCAGTCTCAATGGAAGCAGGCCGGCCAACAGCACTGAATTGACCGGGAAACGCCATTTGCTGAGCCGCATCGAACATGTCATGAGTCCAAGCCGAATCGGGTGCCTCGAGAAGCTACAGTTGGAACAATTATCAGCTAAAATGACATATGCTCGACACGAAGAACAACGCGGCGAAGAAGAATGTGGTTTGTGTGCAGAGATCATAAGATTAAACCTTGGAGGTGCCGTAGGGCGCAGGTCTGTTAGTGGAGCGGTTGGAAATCCGGCGAACCGGTCCGAGGCCAGATCCGCGTGCTCTTCCCCGGTGATTTCCAGCCACCGGCTTCCTGTTCATCTTGATGAGATCGTCCAGAGACATGTCTAGAGGCGCTTCTGCAACCATTTCTCTGGCGATGATGATGAGAGAGAGGGAGAGAAGACTAGGGTTTGAGGCTCTGATACAAGGGAATGAGGAATAAAGCTCGGTGAAACAGGTTGGTTTTTGACTTTTTGAATGAAGTACTTTATACTACACTTATTAATTGTTATATTTGTCACTTACATACTCTAAACAACAAGGTGTCGTGGTGTAGTTGGTTATCACGTCAGTCTAACACACTGAAGGTCTCCGGTTCAAACCCGGGCGACGCCATTTCTATATCCTCTTGGAATTTTTTTGAAAGCGTTGTTTTTTTAGCAAAAATAAAAATCAGAAAGAGGAGAGGGCCCAACCGGGATCGAACCGGTGACCTCTTGATCTGCAGTCAAATGCTCTACCACTGAGCTATGGACCCGAGTGATGACAAACTCACAATGGTTTTTTAATTTATAACTAATTGTAACACTTACACCTATTTTACAACATTCGTTTTAGAGCTTAACCGATTATATTTTCAAAAATCTTGTAAACATCCAGCCATATTGAATATAACATTCATTATTAAAATGACAAAAAATAACTCATTTTACTAACTTGGAGAGAAAAATATGTGACGACGATCACTCGACAACCCCTTAATTATTTTAACAATTTAAAACAATTATTTTAAATAAAGCCCATATAATTATTTTAACAATTTAAAACAATTAATACTCCGTATTAAATATGCAATTTTATGGGTCTTCACTATATTGTCTTAAGTGGTAGGAGGAACAATCTAAAATATTTGAGATTGAAGTTTACTCATATATATATTTGAAATGTCTAAAAATCAACTTTACACTTCCTACTCTCTTTTTTTTGGGGGGAACAAATATGTAGATATCATATAGTCATTCTCTTTCTTCCAAATAAATATCAAACACACATTTTTCATTTTTCTCTATCCTTTCAACATTGTTCTTGATTTTTGTGATGTCATACCATTAGATTCTTTCAAAGACAGAGGAAATAAATTATTTCTTGTTTTACCTTTTTCTTTTATTAGTTGTCCTCGCGTATGGTCATATCTTGTTTAAGCTTGTTTGTCGATCAACAACTCTGTATGTTGTCTTTTGGCGATACTGTCTTTGTTCACGTTGCGAGACAAATCTCTAACTGTGCACATCATCATGTGGGCTATTTTGTGTTCATACAGTGCATCTCGATGTGAAAATGTCTATCATCACTGGACTCTATGAGTAACGGACATTGGAGGGAAACAACAGCATTCAAATTATTATTTCGATTAAAAAGTTAATTGAACTATTAATAAGAATAAAAAATATGAATGCTCCGGGTAAATGTTATTTTTAAAAGTGAAAATACTACGGAGTACTTGTGTTTCCTTAGTATGCACATTATAAAATTAATACCGGAGTATATATACATGCATTAACAAATAATATAATGCTTGTTAAATGATTAAAAGTTGAATATATTGAGATGAATGATAAAATTTGCCAAAATTAGAGTCATGATTGTTAAACTACATAGAGTTGGAGGATATTGAGAAAGGTGTTTCTATTTAGGCTATGGGGTATGGGGGATCGAGGGAGTCGGCGTCGCACACATCGCAGCCGACCCCAAAACACCGCCCCCCGATCGGCGTTCGGTGTCAGAATGCTCTACACACCGAACGCCACAACTGACACCCATCCCTTATTTTTTTCTTCTCAATATTTGACCGTTGCAAAACTAAAAAAATAAAAAAAATTGAAAATTGACTGTTAGATCCAAAAAAATATACTCTATTTAAACATACCTATTCTACCCAAATTTTCATAAATTATTCTCAAAAAAAATGCTTCTTCATTTACAAAATATTTTGTGCCATGAATTATTCTTCATCTTCCGATGAAGCCGCTGATTTTTTTTTGATTTAGTGACGGACGCCGCACAAATTCTTCTAGCGCAAAATGAAACTACACAATCATCGGCGCCACGAAGAAGACAACGAGCGTTACTCCAAGATCGGGAGGGTATGATTTTTCTGTATTCAATCGTATAATCTATATTTTAATTATGTATCAGTCTTTAATTAATGAATGTCTCGTTTTAATTATGTACTTTTTCCATAATTGTACTCTTTTATTTATAATGAATGAAATGCTTAATATAAATTTTTAGATCTTAAAGTGTCTAATTATTATTCAATGTTTTAGTCTATTTAATTATTTAAATTAAAATGTTATATGTAAATAAAATGTTATAAAAGTAGTATTTTAAAAAAATTAAGGATGGAATGATGACGCCCTAGATGGGGATGAATTGGGGAAAAGTGATGTGGCGATGAGTTGGAAGTGGAGATGGTAGGGATGCTGATGATGGCACCCCATAGTCTTATGAGTATTTTACTTTTTAAAAAGCAAAAATTATACAGAATAATTTCATTTTTACTCGGTCTTTCAAAAATAATCTCATCTTTCGTTGTGATGCATAATAATCTCAGCTTTACTGAAATATACGCATTTTGGGTCACCGTTAAGTTACTAACGGCGAGTTAACAGAAATAGTCTGTTTTGCGCAACAAAATGAAAGTTGGGATTATTTTTGATAAACTTTTGTTTTTAATGTTTTTGAAATTTTAATTTAAATTTTTAAAATGACTTGCTTCCTCCATCATTATTTATATTGTTTTAAAGATTAGTCTAACTTTAGATAAAAATAAAAAATAGATATAAAAAATAACGAAAATGAAAAAAATAACTATAATCATACAAAATTAATGAAAAAAAATAAGGAATCAGAATAAATGAATATGAAACTGGTAAGAAATAAAATAAAAATAAATGGAGTGGTGAGTTACATAGTTTTAACATTTTACACACTATAGAGAGCATTGATGTATCCCCTTTTCTTATTTTAAGAAAAATTATATAGAATAATTCTAACTTTACCTAATCTTTTAAATAATAAGTAGTACATTAAGAGCCTGTTCTTTAGGGCATAAACTCTTAACTTCCAATTTTTTTCTAGTTTCTTCCAGTTCGTTCCATTTTCTTCTAGTTTCTTCCCGTTCGTTCCAATTTCTTTCAACTAATCTCATTTTCTTCAAACTCTTTCTACTTTCCAATCAATTACTCTAAAACGATATATTTTTTAATGTGATTATTATTATTATTATTATTACAACTATTATGTTCATACCTATAGTTTATAATTTTTTGTTCGTCTCACTATTTTTACAATTCACACTCATTATTATTTTTTCTTCAACTTTTAAATTTGAACAAGACAAATTTTTTGTATATAAATCTACATGATAAAATAGGAAAACATCAATATTTTAAACTATATTAAAAATTATGGATAAAATAGTTACATAGAATGTTTTATTAATCTAACTTTATAGTGCGTAAAATGTTAGAACCCTTAACTGTTATGTTTTTACTTTTTTTCTTTTTAATTTTAGTTTAATTTTTATTGATTACCTTATCTATTTCATTAATTTTGTATGATTTTAGTTATTTTTTTCATTTTTGAGTTTTTTATATCTATTTTTATTTCCTTATAAGATAAGACTTAAGACTAATCACTAAAAAAGGTAAAAGAAATTGAAATAGAAAGTCATTTTCAAAATTTAAATAAAAATTTCAAAAAAAAATTTCAATTTTCATTTTTTTGCGCAAAACATGCTCTTCCGTTAACTCATCGTTAGCAACTTTATGGCGGCCCAAAACTCATAAATTTCAGTAAAGTTGAGATTATTATGCATCACAGTGAAAGATAAGATTATTTTTGAAAAACAACGTAAAGTTGACATTATTTTGAATGATTTTTCATTGAAAAATTTGGTTTTGTTCGAACTCGTTTTGGGCGGGTGGGGTTTGGGATTTCAAGCTTGCTTCCTATTGGTCTATTGAAAGATGACACGGATCACCAAATAGCGTTTGTTGACCGTCGATTAACATCAAATCAACGGCCGAAAATATCCCATCCCAAAACCGTGCCGCCACTCTGAACCAACTATAAAATGATGGACTAAATCCAAATATCAATTTAATTCTCTGAACCATTTGAAATCTCTTCAACAATTTATAAAATCAAGTTTGATAATATATTCCGATGGATTCTCAGCCGATGAAGGTCAACAAGGGTGTCGCCGGCAGGAAGGCCGGCGGCCCGAGGAAGAAGTCGGTCACTCGCTCCGTCCGAGCCGGTCTTCAATTTCCGGTGGGTAGAATCGGCCGGTACCTGAAGAAAGGTCGCTACGCCCAGCGCGTCGGTACCGGCGCTCCCGTTTACATGGCCGCCGTTCTCGAATACCTCGCCGCCGAAGTAAGTTCCAATTCCGTTTCCAATCCCTTCCGCCAAATTTGAGTTGGGATGTTATGATTTCGTGTATCTGATAAGAGTTTTTCCGGCGGTTACAGGTGTTGGAGTTGGCCGGAAACGCTGCAAGGGACAACAAGAGGAACAGGATCATCCCGAGGCACATTCTGCTTGCGGTGAGGAACGACGAGGAGCTCGGGAAGCTGCTGACCGGCGTGACCATCGCCCACGGCGGCGTGCTACCAAATATAAACCCCGTTTTGCTGCCGAAGAAGAAGGAATCCGACGTCGCCGGGAAGGAACCCAGTTCAGGGAAAAAGGCGGCCAAGTCTCCGAAGAAGGCCGCCGCTTAGACGATGTTGAATAGCTTCGGATTTAGGGTTAAAGCAGTTTTTAGTCTATATAAATATGAATATTAATGGCTTCTTCTGTTTAGATCTGATGTAAAAGCTTGATTATGTATTAATGAAGCTTTTTGTTTCTATAATGGACGGCTTTAATTTCGTTTCTTGTTCGATTAATTTGTTCTAACTCATTACAGCTATGCACTCTACCACTCTCAAAGTGCACAGAGCTTGGCAGGGGGGAAATTAGACAAATTGTTGTAGAAATAGAACATACCCGAGTGAATTGGAAAATGAAGAAAAATGCAAGAGCTAAAACATTTTTAAATTAGTTATAAAATGCAAGAGCTAATCCGTCCCCTAGTTTTTGTCCACTTTTGACTTTTGAAACTGTTTATCTAAGCACTTTGACTCATCAAATTCTCTCAATGTGTAAGTCTAAATATAATCATGTGTGATCTTGTTTGATTTGTCTTAACATATAGATTATTAATATATAATTTCTATAATTTTTTAATATACAAATTACAAGATAAAATAGATTAAAGAAGTGCATTGGATGATGTGTAAAAATGAAAGTGGACAAATATTCTGTGACGGAGGGTGTATGGATTATGGAGTATTGATTTTTCTATCACATTTATTTATAAATATAATAAACCATTAAAAACCGAACTGATAAAACTAAAATGGAACAAAAAAAGCTGAACCGAACCATTTTTATTCGGTTTTGTTTTTTGTTTTTGGTGTTTGAAAACTGAACCGAACCATCTAAAACTAAGGAACTGTTTGGCAACTTCTAAATAGGTAAGTACTGAACCAGTAAGAGGTCTGAACCATTAAGAGCTAGTATATTGCTTAACTATTCAGAGACAAATGTCTGATCAATTCAGATAAGAGGTCTTAACCATTCAGACTCTGTATAATACTTAACCATTCAGAGGCAAATGTCTGAGCCATTCAGATATCTGAACCATTAAGAGGCTGAAACAAAAGGTCTGAACCATTAAGTGCTGAACCATTCAGACATCTGAACCATTAAGAGGCTGAAACAAACAGCCCCTAAATCCTACTAACGCTTTTCCAACTTTTTAATCTCACGTGGATATTAATGGGATGATAAAATGAAAGTCTTGTTTATATTTCTATAATATGCTCTTCAATTTAAGCTTTATATTTTCTCTTTTGGTTTTCAATTTTTTCTTGCTAATGAAAGTCTTGGTTAGAAACACATGTTGTCAAATAGTAGTTTTTTTCTTTCATATACTCCGTAATTTTTTTAGTAATTTCATAATTGGTCTTTTATAATTAGAGTTTTTCTTATTTAGTCCTCTATTATCAAATATTATCTCGATGATTTTTTTATGAGTACCTAATCTTTTTTATCTTCTGTCATATTGATGTCAATTTTAGGATTAAAAGTTTAATTTCACAATGATCATATATTTTTCTTCTCATACACAATTTTACAGACACCTTTTACTACAACCATAGTCTACAGATATAGTCTTTCGTCGAGATCCTAGTCCACAGTCATAACCATTATTGTTGTGTTGTATGTCTAAATAACATGAGAATACGTCACTGGACATAAGATTGATGTTAAATTACACTTTTAATTTTCAAATTAATACTAACATGACAAGTCAAAAAGGGATTATTTGTAGAAAGGTATCCGTAAAAGAAGAATCACAAAGGTAATATTTGATAAAAGATGACTAAATATGAAAAATATCATGTTATAAAGAACCAGTTATGAAATTCGTAAATTATCATATGTACTTAAAATTCACGGTGGACCTTTATATATTTAAATAAGTATTTTCAAGTATTGAAATAAGTATTTTAAAAATTAAAAAAATATGTGAGAAGATTAATGTAGACCTTAGGTCCACCATAGAATCACTCTATGAAACTTACTCTTTTTTTAGAATAAATTTCATAAAAAGGTCCCTAGTTATAGGTCGTTTTACATATTTAGTCCTTACATATCAAATATTAATAAATTAATCCCTAATTACTATAATGTTTTCTACAAATAGTCTTTTATAAACATTTTCATTAAGAACATAGATAAAATTCTATATTTACACTCTTCTTTCTTCAATTATGCTCCCTCCCTCCTCTCGCACTCATTCCCAAACTCGTTGCTGATTTTGATGCTCTAAACTCAATACCAAAACGATCACCCTCTCTCAATTGTTTATCAAACTGTTAAAACCAAAAATTGAAACCAATAACCTTCGTGAATGAATTTTATGGGTTAGTCTTAAGAAATTGTAAAGAAAACAAATCTTAAAACTCATCTATGAAGGTTACTAGTTTCAATTTTAGATTCTACCAGGAAGACGAAGAATTGAGAGAGGAGTGATGATTTCGGTTTTGGGTTCAAAACTTCAAACTCAACGACCGGTTTGGGAAAGGAGTCCAAGATAAGAGACGAAGCTTAATTGAGGAGAGAGAGGAACATGAATTTATAATTTTACCCATGTTTTTAACGAAAATGTTAACAAAAGACCATGCGTGAAAAATAATATAATAATTGAGGACTAAATTATTGATATTTGATATGTAATAACTAAATATGTAAAACGAACTATAACTGGGGACCTTTTATGGAATTTATTCTTTTTTTATTAATTGTTTCGTAAAAATTATAACAATGTGACCCCTGCTTCACAATTCTTTGCTAGATTGATCACCACAAAATCTACTAGTCTAGTGACAGTTTTACTTCCTTTTTATATTTGGAGTATACTCCCTCCGTCCAATTCTTTTTGTCCACTTTCATTTTTGCACACCATCCAATGCACTTCTTTAATCTATTTTATCTTGTAATTTATATATTAAAAAATTATAAAAATTATATATTAATAATATATATGTTAAGACAAATCAAACAAGATCACACATGACTATTTTTAGACTTACACATTGAGAGAATTTGATGAGTCAAAGTGCTTAGATGAACAGTTCCAAAAGTCAAAACTGGACAAAAAGAGTGGGACGGAGGTAGTACTTTTTAATACCACTCATTTAGTCATTTTCCTCATGTAGTTAAAAAAGAATTTAATATTGCATCTTATATACTCCCTATCGATTTATTTTTAAAATTAATATTTTTTACAATAAAATTAGTTTTTTTTAAACCACAAAAAAAAAACAATAAAAGAACCAAATTTTAATTGTTAATAAACCAAATCGAATAACCAATGAATTTCGAAGACAATTAACCGCCAATCTAGTTTTGCCTAAAAATCGAACTAATAAAACAGATCCCAATCCTACTTTAAAGTTTCTTCCGCCGGTGGGCGTTATGCAGTTGGCAAAAAACAAAAAGTGTCAAGGGGGTAAAACTCGAGTTTGAATCTTGATAACTGTGCTGGAGGCAATTATACTAAACATAAAACCTCTGCAAATATCGGATGCAGACTCATTCTTTTCTGCCAAACTGCAATCAAAATATAATTTATATTCTCAGTTATTGTTCGACCGGGTTTGAAGGGGCCTCACAGGATGGGATTCTATCTTTTTTGTAAAATCTCTTCCTTCCAAGCCATTGTCTGGTGAGCATTAAAATCTTCCACAGAGTATCAGAGCTCATTTGAGTACTGAGTCCAAAACTGAAAATGGCGTGGAGAGGACAACTCTCGAAAAATCTCAAAGAGCTTCGGATCCTATTATCTCCCCATTCAAATTCCAGCGCTCCTTTGAGGTACAAAGATCTTTAGTTTTCCCTATTCTGCTCTATAAGTTATAATTACTATGCGCAGTTGTTTCGAATGTAGGGCTTTTGTTGAGAAGAACTACAAGGAGCTCAAGACCCTTAACCCTAAATTACCCATTTTGATCCGGGAAGCCATATCCGTTGAGCCCCAGATTTGGGCCAGATACGGTAAATTTCCTATCTTTTACCGATTTTTTTATACTTTCTGTTTTGTAATGAACCTGATCTAGTTGCAAATAGGAAGAAATCGAGGGAGATTACAGGGACAAAATGAGAGGGGAGTGGGAGAGAAATTAGGGAGGAGGAAGAAGAAGATTCGAGATCGAAATTGATAGAGTTTCTTTCAATAATCTGGATAAAGAATGGAACTACGAATGAGGTTTAAGTAGAGAAATATACTGAGTATTATTCCACTGCTGCAGCCATGAGCTACCATTTGTGAAATGTCATCTCCAGCAATTCAAAAAGTCACATTGGTAGCATACAAAACTAAAGGTCTTCAATTATTTGTCTTACCTCTACCAGAAATTAAAATTATGTTTTCTTGAAATGATCTTTGCGTTCAATGATTAGCAAGAAGTCCCTTTTCAAGCCTCTCAAATTCTCAAGGTTGTGGGTTCAGACTTTGAGTGGAGGTCAGGTGCTGGTGATAGTACTCTAAAGCACACAGGACAATACCACATGTTCGGTATAAGCGTCTCTGAAATTTCGCATACCTAGTTGTTCCTTGGATTATTTGGATGGAACAGATTTGGGATCTTTGACCCGCATAATCTTATCAAAATCACTCTTTCACTCATTTAGTTTTTTTTCAAAAATAATGGCTTCATAAAGTCAGCTGCTGCCTAACTCTACAGCATTCTCTCACAATCTCTGTGCTATCCCACTACGGATTTCCCTCAACGCTTGAAAAGCATGAAGAAATATGCAGTACCTACGCCTATTACGCTTGTTAGTTTGAGACTCTTGACACCTTTCTCATAGTTAGCATCAATTTGGGGTGTGGCAGTGTGGATTCTCATAGTTAGTATCAATTTGGGGTGTGGCAGTGTGGGATCTTATGAACCAAAATCTTTTCAATAGTCTTAGTTGAATGTATTGTACCCAGTTGTTCCTCCAAGCCCTTCAATCCAAGAAACCTCTAGCTAATTGTCATCCTTGGCAACCCTCCTTTTTAACCTAAAAAAATATGGAGTATTTTTCTACAGTAGGACAAAGAAATAGTTCAAACATAACCTTAAACATGTCGTGCAATTTGGTTCCCACATAGTAGCTCTTTTGTTCTTTGTCACCGGATCTATTCTGTACTTTGTCCCTCTGTACTTGTCATTACAAGGAGAACATGTTTGAAAAATACACTACCTTTGCTTGACAAAATTTACAGAGCTTAATTAAGCTTTTTAAGACAGAAAATTGCTTACTCATCAGTTGCTGCTTT